TCAAAGCTGAGACCTCGAGCACTTTTGTGCAAAATGTAGTTGATGTATCTTTCGTGCTCCACAGTTCCGAGTTTACGTAGCAGCAGCCGTACTTTTGACGCGTCATCAACATTTACCAGCTCCATCTTGAAAATATCTTCTTAACGTCTGAACCATGCATAGAAAATCAGTCCTGAAGGGGGATCAAAAACAAACTCTGACACTGTTGTTTATTGCATCAACTGAAAGCTTTCCAGCATTATGGACTGATGTAGACTAGGGCGTTAGTGTTCGAGTGAAAGTCTCGATCATACGCAGCTGCTGCTTTCGAAGCAAAATAGCTTTCAGATCTGCTGAAATCGACATTTTGAATAACTGCTCTCTTCGCCAAAAACTGTTGTGCTTCCACTGACAGTACGGATAACTGATGCAGCCACTCCTCAAATCAGAAGACAAAGGCCTCTGGCAGAAATTTTATGGAACACCCGGAAGACAGAATGTACGGCAAAAATACGGGACAAAAATAAACAGTTCATGAGAGAAAAGATCTAATTGAAGGTTCCTGACTATAGCAACTGCTAGATGCGCAAAAACATGTGTTGCCTGTTCAAGTAGTGTTCTTAATGGAGGACTTCAAGGCAGGTTGTTCTGATTGGTCCAATCCCGGGCTAAACGATGCCATCGGCTTACTCTCATTGGCTAGCCAGTCAGCTGCAGGCGGGATACGACCAATCTCCGGGCTGCTTCAGACAGTGAGCTGGCTTCGAAGGCTGCTACGGACGGCCTACTGTGACAGCGCATGCTTCCGTAGTGAAGGTATAGGGCACGCTTAATGATTCCCTTCAAGATCTTACCGACTACTGACGTCAGGCATGGCCAATAACTTGCAGCACCTTCCGGTTCCCTCCTTTGTATTTGGTTATCATTATCCCTACTTCCCAGTCAAACGGTAAGTGGCCGTCCACGAGCGAACGGCGAATGTTTAGCATATTGGATCGACAACGTGTTCGGTTACCAACTTGAAGAATAGTGGGTGTAATCCATCAGGGCCCTTGCGCGAAGCTGGGGTTCAGCTCAAGGAGGAGTCTCGCGACTATCTCAGGGCTGATTTCGGCTTGTTCTGGAGGAGGACAGTGCGTTGACTGATCATCCATGAGTAATAACAGTGGTGTGAGACAAGGATGCCCGCTGCCACCTTTCCTCTTCAACTTCGCTGTTGACGTAGTCATGGAAATTGCGTTCACAGGACACGACTTAAAAGGTGTGGATCTACTCCCAGGACTTCTTGACTTAGAGTATGCTGATGATATTGCCCTAATCTGTGACAGCTCCTAGACGTGCCAAGCGGCACTGGACAGATTAGCACTGGCTGTCAACCGCTTCAGGCTTTGCTTTGCATCATCGAAGTGCAAAGCGTTCCTCCAAGGTTGGTCTGGACCGCCTCCTACGCTGACCCTTGGTGGGAATCAGCTAGAAGTCGTTCAAAAATTCAACTACCTGGGGAGTTGTATCAGCGCCCGTGGGATTGAGGATGAGATCACGAACCGTATAGCAAAAGCTCGGGGCGATTTTGCTAACCTTCGTCACTTATGGCGCCCGGCGCGACATCACTCTTGCTCTGAAGGGTAGAGTGTAGGATGCAGCGGTACGTTCGACCCTACTGTACGGTTGTGAAACCTAGCCCCTTAAAGCAGCGGACCTGAAGAGGCTGGTTACGTTCGACCACCGGTGCCTTCGCAATTTAGCTCACATCTAGTGGGAACACCGCGTGAGCAACGAGCGTGTTCGACGCCTTGTTTACGGCACTGGAAAAGGAACTGAACCGCTCAGCGCCGTTATTTTACGCACCAGGCTCCGATGGCTGGGCCACGTGTTACGCATGCCAGCCCACCGACTCACGCGACGTGCGTTTTTTGTGCGCCGGGGGTGTGGATGGAAGAAGAGAAAGGGTGGCCAAGCGATGACTTGGTCGAGAGGAATGAAGGCCGTCACTTCTGAGCTGGCCTCGGTTGTAGCTTCACGGCTCCCTGGTTGGGGTCCGAAAGACGATGAACACGTTTGGTTGGACACACTTGCTGATATGGCTAGGAGCCGACCTCAGTGGCGTTCGTGCTGTGAGTTTCTTTGTCCCACCCCATCCCTCTTAGCCTCCGTCTCCAACCACGATCTCATTATTTAGCCTTATATAATTTTGCATAGTTATTTTTTCTTGATGCACAGCAGCCAACTGCTGGCTTACCAGAACGATGCCCATCCGTTACCGGTAGCTCAGCCAGCTTGCACCAGTTGCATTTTTTCTCTTTTTTATTTATTGCGGCACAGTAGCTGTGGTGTTCCCCACCTCTAGCTAACGTGTATGATGATGATGATGATGATGAATAACAACTCCACGATGTAGACTCGGGAGTACTGCGAAACTAATAGATGTGCCTCATCTTCGTAAAGTAATCTTTCTCACCGGAGGATAGAGCAAGAATAGCACTGTTCGTTTTGTTGTTTTGCTTCATGTACGAGAAAATTCTGGACAGATTCGTGATTATATAACCATCTAATATTCATACCGAGCCCGTTTCTGACGCGTTTTTGTAGTGCACACGTTTCTACTCACCTTACACTTCAAGTAGCCGGATGTCACTTGTGTAGACTTGAACACGTCCCACTATTTGCGTCGTCTGTTCATCAGGGATCTTACTTCTCGGTCGACCTTTTCGGAAATGCCTGCTTTTGCAGTTAGGAACGACTATCTTGATGACCGGTGTCATCTTCGAGCGTGTTGTTCCATGCCTCGTTAAGGTCCAGGAAATGAGGGATGCTCCGTTCTGTAGTGCTTGCCACTTCTAGTCTGGATGGGACAACACGCCAGAAGTTACGACGATGTGTCCCTTTATCGTGGATAGCAAAGGAGTGTCCACAGAAAGGGACTGTGCAGTGGTCACTTGAGCCAAGTGGCTGAAGAATCTTCGGGCCGTAGGCATCAGCGTGCCGCGGAGTGAGCAGGAGATCAAGAATATGTGGTATTTGTGTCGGGATCATCCGTGTTGGTGTTCCGACATGCTGAATCAACTTGCATCTATGGGTAACGTCAAGATCGGCTTCGAAGGAATCGTGGGGAGGTCACAATGGAGAAGGTGCCAGTCGATACAACGTGCATTAAAGCCGCTCATGAGCAGACGATTCCTGCCTATACCATTCATTTTTACCGATTGCAACAGACGGGCATCTGAGCCTAGTGGGGCTCTATGGGCTACACCGGTCGTGTGTAGTTGATAGCCATCATGATTCTGGCATCAGAGTATTCGTGGGACTCCGTCGTTGTCTCAGACAAATTCGATAACGTGCACTTTGAAGCAAACCGTGTATATAATTCCCCTATCCCCAGTACGCCCGCTGGAGCTCCAGAGTGACTTCATCCAGCTTGTTTTTAATGCTGCGTACATTGGCATATATCACTCTCAATCCGCTGTGTAAATCTGAGGGCTGGGTAGCAAAAGAATTGGCTTCCAGCGGGTTCTTTGGGTTTTCTAAACAACGCGAAAATCCACAATATGAAGATCACTTTCGCCGCTCGCTCGACAGGTTTGCAGGTGACTTGTCTCATTCTGACTCGACTCTCTGTGGAAAGGTCTTCCTGGACAAACAATTTTTCTCTCATGAGGTGCAAGGTTCGCCTGAAGATGCTGCGATATTCTTCCTCATACTTAACAGACAATGTTTAGAGGACGGGTGTTGGATGTATCGTTCTGTCTCCTATCAAACCGAAAAGCATAGACAATGTTGATACCTTGCTCGCCTTCATCGAACAAGAGGGAGAATGCTTTCCTGAGGTCTCTGTCGGATATAGGAGCATTAGTTATTATTAAGTAACGACCACATTGGTTTTTGTTTTCTCCTTAGTTTCCCGTCCTTTGTGGGACTGGTTTTCCTTCGATATGTTTTTTCTATTTCGTTACCTCTGTTTATAATGAGCCTCAGTTGCGTTGGAGTAGAGCTTGATTCCGTTTTAGGCATTGAAACCATTTTTCTCGTTGTCTTTCTTCAGCCGGGTTCGTCTCAGAGATTACTACAGAGTATATGTGCCAAAACTGCATAGGTCTTCGTTTTTGTTTCAGTTGTAGTTGCAGCTTTCTGGTCTTTGCAGTCTTTAGCTCGTAACTGTGTCCCCTCCAACGAAGTGGAAGGGACTCGGCCTCAGTTTTGTATCGGATTAGCAGGCCGAATTGTAAATCTCGATAGAAGAGGTTGTGGATAAGCTACCAGGCTGAATGGCTGGCTGATTTGGAGGTTGAGAGTCGCACTATAGTGGGATTTAACCAAACCTATTTTTCACCACAGTGAAGAGTAAGAAACAAGGAATCAGTCCGTTTTGAGCGTGCATCCACTCAGCTTCAATCCTACAGCAGGCTGTATGCAGCCATTCCTCACACAGAGAGCACTGCATGGCGTTTCATCGCGAGGCGACAATTCAGACGGAGTCCGAGCCATTGAATATCATTATCGTTCTTTCCGTCACTTCTTTGATGAATATATATATATATATATATATATATATATATATATATACATTTATATATGAACACCAATCTATAAAAAACATTGAGCCATTCAAAGCTATGGATTTTGAACAAGACTATGTACAGCGATGTCAAAAAGTAGTGAAGGATCAAAAAAGAACGTTTCTTGTCTTTTTCACACGCCGTATTTTTATTTTCTGTTATGATATATAATCAAATGTTGGTAGCTCAAGTTGTTCTGTTGGTGCTCTGAATGTTCGCTGAACTCGGCAGTTTGGCTGCAAACGTTTCATCACCACTCGAGGTGACATGGTCAATCTGCGTTTATGTAGCGGTGCGGCGCGGTACGAAGCGCCAATGAGTGTGAGTGATCGATCTTCTCGCCATCATTCTGAGTTTGGATCGTTCGACATGCACATGACCATCAAAATCGATCTCTGATTCTTGTCACGTAGCGTACGCGCGCGTGCCTCTTCGGTTGTCGTTGTCGTTTGACGCATTTGTCCGGCGTTCTCTTCCGTTAGATTTAGTCGATTAATTCGATGATCTTTCAGCCGTAGTGATGCATATGTGGCATATATTTCAACGCGTCGGTTTATTGAATTGTCTGTAGAACACCATGCTTCCAAGGACGCTCTAGCTTGCCTCGAAGTTGCACGGGCAAGGATTTTTACGCTCACTAGGTCGAAGTGATGGCCTTCGTGGTCTTCATGAATGGAAACCAGTGAATGTGAGTCGTGTCTCCGTATAGCCATTTTGTTATCGTTGATCCGTGTTAAAACTTTCCTTCCAGTTTACCCGATGTAATGTTTGTCACACTGTGTAGTTTATTTTGTAGTTGACATCATTCTGACTGCCTTGTTTGACTTTGTCTTTCGGCCTTGAAAGCAATCCTCTCAATGTGCCATTTGGTTTGTGGGCTACCAAGATTCCATGTTGTTTTAGCAATCTCGACGTTAGTTCAGACACGTTCTTGATGTAAGCAAGCGCTACCCATCTATCTACATTTTCCCACTCGTTGAGGCACTCTTTTCTTTAGGCGTTTTCTGATGAAATTTCTTGCATACCCGTTGTTTTGTAATACCCGGTATAGATGGTTCTCTTCCTTCCTCCTCATTTCTGTCGTACTGCAGTGTGTTTTGACTCTTAAAAAGGCTTTGCATGCAGCTTTCCTTATGCCTCAGTAAATGGTTACCGTGGTAGTTTAGTATTTGGCCTGTGTGGGTCTTCTTTCGGTGTACACATGTTTGAAGCGTTCCGTCAGCATTTCTTTGGACCAGTACATCTAAGAATAGTAATTGATTGTCTTTTTCGAGTTCAGTGGTAAAGTTGATATCCTGAAACGTGTTGTTGGTTAGCTCGGGTATTTTGCATAAAATCTCGTTTGATGATAACGAAGGTGTCATCCACGTACCGGATCCATAACTTCGGTTTGATTAACGGTATTGTGATACTCTCCAGTTTTTGCATCACAGATTCTGCAACACAAAATGGCCATACCCGCATTCACTAGTTTCCATTCGTGAAGACCACGAAGGCCATCACTTCGACCTAGTGAGGGTAAAGATCCTTGCGCGTGGAACTTCGAGGCAAGCTAGAGCGTCCTTGGAAGCATGGTGTTCTACAGACAATTCAATAAACCGACGCGTTGAAATATATGCCATATATGCATCGCTATGGCTGAAAGATCATCGAACTAATCGACTAAATCTAACGGAAGAGAACGCCGGACAAATGCGTCAAAGGACAACGAAAACCGAAGAGGCACGCGCAGGTACGCTACAAGGCAAGGATCAGAGATCGATTTTGATGGTCATGTGCCCGTCGAACGATCCAAACTCGGATGACTAGAAGATCAATTTTTTATTATTTTTAAGCATTTGGTACTTTTGAAATCGGACGTTCATTCATTCATTATACACATTAGCTTCAGTTGGAAAACTCCTCAACTGTTGTGTCGCAATACAAAGAAAAAGAAAAAATGCAGCAGGGGCACGCCGGCTGAGTCACCAGTAATGGATGGACATGGTTCCCGAGAGCTAATAGCCGGTTATTGTGTCGAAAAACGTATATTATGCCCTAATAAATAAGATCGCGGTTGGAGGGAGAGGCTGAGCGGGAAGGGGAGTGGTACAGAAACTCACGGCACAAACCCCATTGAGGTCGGCTTCTAGCCATATCAGCCAAACGTGTTCATCGTTTGTAAGTAGCAGGGGGATTTATTAGGTTTTCGTGTAGATTCGTCGCAGTTAGACACAGACAAACAGCCACCACACATCCAGGAAAGTGTTAGACGGCCGTTTCGTCCTATTAGGACTCGTCAGTAGCGCGCACCTGCCGGATTAGAACCCACGACCTTACTCTTGCGAGTCCGCGACTTATGTCACTGAGCCACGGGCGACGGCTGCGGACCGTCATATAGCGATATAGCGCGGCTCATCCTCCAATGTCTTGCATGTTAGAAATGTGCAGAGGACAGAGCTGGCCCCCAGAGCAACGACTTCCTTTGCAAACCGCCACCAATCAAGGTGGCAACTAAGCTGCTAAGGCGACTATTGATTATTTGTAAGTAGTAGGGGATTTATTAAGTTTTCGTGTAGATTCGTCGCAGTTAGACACAGGCACGCAGCCTTCGGTCCCCAACCAGGCTGCCGAGAGGCGCCAACCGATCCCAACCCCTACGTAAGCGCCTTCATTCCTCTTGACCAAGCCATCACTCGACCGCCTCTCTTCCATCCGCACCCTCGGCGTACAAATACTGCACGTCGCGGGCGTCGATGGGGTAGCATGCGCAACAGGTGGCCCAGCCACCGGGGCCTGGTGCGTGAAATAACCGTGCTAAGTGATTCGCCTCTTTTTCCTACGCCATAAACAAGGCATTGAGCACGCTCATTGTTTCCACTGCAACCTGTTATGTGTTTTTATTTTGAGTGTTGCAAGCCATAGTCATTCTTCATCTTTCGGTCCCTGACCTGCAGTGGATAGACAGGATGTCGGTGATTTGTTGCCAGGTTGTCAGTTGGCCTCCACGCGACCTCTTCCACTGCAGCCTTACATGCACAGATGGGGCGCGGCGTGGCAATCGCTCACCAGACATGCGTAGGACTTAGCCATGCCATCTCAACTGGCGCAATAGAACAAGCTCAGAACGTGAGATCCGTCTTGTCAAAGACGCGTTGTCTGCTGTCGCCATTGCGCACCCGGTATTGCTCAAGCCTTCCCGTCTTTTTATTCCCCCTCTTACGCTTTTTCACTCTTACCGTCCCCTTCCAATTTCACTTATATCCCCCCAGTTTTCAACCCCCGATTCTTGGCCCTCTCCCAACATGCTTTGCTAGGCATTTACCTTCTAATTTCAACTCACACGTGAACGCGGAGCGTCACTCCTCTCCTGTCGACAAGCCCATGTCCAACCAAGCGGTCCAATCCAGTTCATCGGCTTCCATTTGGAGCCCTCGATCCTCCTTCAGATTAGCATGCCTCAATGTACGCACACTGCTACAAATCGGTCAACAGGCAGCACTTTCCCGAACATTGGAGACCCTCTCGATCGATATCTGCTGCTTATCAGAGACTCGCCTGCAAGACTCGAGCACTGTGCTCACTCTGCTATCTCCTTCAGGTGACGCAAGCAGTATTTTCTCCTCGCGCCTATCCGGTGACGATGCAGCTTCGAGCACCGGCCAAGCCGGTGCTGGCATTGCCCTGAGTCCCCGGGCTGAAGCTGCTCTGGTTGATTGGATTCCAATCAGTAGCCGGATGTGTGCGGTCCGATTGGCTGGCTCGTTTAAAGCTTCGAAGTCGCGCGGGACTAATAGATGTCTATTCATCATCGCTGCCTATGCGCCCACAAACTGTAGCGATGATTCGGTAAAGAACGACTTCTACCGCCAACTGACCCAGTTTCTTCGCCACAGAAGAAGCACGGACACTGTGGTGCTGACGGGGGATATGAACGCACAAGTTGGAAAGTTGTCCACTGAGGAACTGCATCTGGGCGGTCAACACGGTGTAGGCTCCCGTAATGATAACGGTGAGCGGTTACTTCATTTGTGTGAAGATGCTCGCTTATTTCTTGCGAGCACTAATTTCCGACACAGCACCCGCCTGAGGGTGACTTGGCGCCCACCAGCCTTGGACGCAGATCGATCACATTGTGACAAGTTACCGCTGGAGAGGCTACATCCAGAATTGTCGCTCGATTTGGAGCACATGTGTGGACACCGATCATGCACTTGTATGTGCTGACATGCTGATGCTTTTTGGCGGACGCCCACGACGACGCTGTGAGCGTATTGACACCAGCCAACTGACAAAGCCAGCTGTTCTGAATGCGTATCGAATTACGCTGACATGCGAGTTGTGTAAACGCTCATAGGAGACAATAGAGGGTCACTGGTCACATGTTCGCCAGACCTTACTAGCAGCAGGCAAATCCTCCTGTGGTATGTCTAATAGCCAACATGGACATTGGGTCTCTTCGCAGTCTCTGGAACTTGTCGACGCTCGCCGGCATATCCCGGCTGGAAGCGAGCACAATGAAACTCGCAAAGAGCTCCGGGCAAAACTCCGTGCTAGCCTGAAGAGAGACCGCGAATCTTTGTGGTCTCATCGTGCGTCACAGATGGAAGTGGCCGTTGCCCTTGGCAACCATCGTAAGTTATTCCGTCTGATACGGGAAACGGGCAGCAGGAGACCTGGTGTTAGTGAAATAATTTGTGATGAGAATGGACAGCCTATCCACAATTTGTCAAAACGTCTGGAGCGTTGTGCTGAGCATTTTGAAAAGCAATTAATCGGCTAAAATTTTTCGATTCGCCGGTCACTGATCGCCCTGCTCCGTGGGCTGTTCCTTTGGATCCACACTCTTGCTCAGAAGTCGAACGTGAGATCGGACTGTTGAAGTTGAACAAAGCCGAGGGACCAGATTATCTTCCTCCAGCCCTCTTCAAATTCGTAGGCTCTGCTCTTGTTGATGCTTTGCATGAATTACTAGTGAAACTGTGGGAGCAGGAGATTGTCCCAACTGACTGGAGCCGCTCCGTTATTGTTCCCATCTTCAAAGGCGGCTCGCGCTCGGAATGCGGCAACCATATGGGAATCAGTCTGATCTCCATCGCCTCCAAATTACTCGCCTCCATAATTCTTCACAGACTGACTGGCGCTCGTGAAAGCCAGATTCGTGAGGAGCAAGCCGGGTTTCGTCGTGGTCGTGGCTGCATCGACCACATCTTCACCTTACGTCAGTTGTTGGAGCACCGTCACACATATTGGCGGCCCACCGTAGTCGTGTTCCTCGACATCAAAGGTGCCTTCGATTCGGTTGATCGATGTGCCCTTTGGAATTGTCTACTCAGGAAAGGTGTGCCCGAGAAATATGTAAATATTATCCAAGCATTATATGCGCGTAGCACGGGCAGAGTGAGGGCTTACGGCAAGCTGTCGCCACCCTTCAATATCTCCAGCGGTGTGAGACAAGGATGCCCGCTGTCACCTTTCCTATTCAACTTCGCTATTGACGAAGTCATGGAGATTGCATTTACAGGACATGACTTGGAAGGTGTGGAGCTACTCCCAGGAGAACGACTTCTTGACTTGGAGTTTGCAGACGACATTGCCCTCATCTGTGACAGCTCACAGACGTGCCAAGCCGCGCTGGACAGATTAGCACTGGATGTCAGTCGCTTCGGGCTTTGCTTTGCACCACCGAAGTGCAAAGCGTTCCTCCAC